AGCCTTCATCATGGGATGAGACAAGGCCAGTGTCTACCTTACCTCATCCTTTTTATAGTTTTGATGCTAAATTTCAGTTGCATTTTATATTCCCTTAAACAATGAAGCCATAGGTGTACCTGAATATGAATACTTTAGGGACATTTTACACTTTTAGCCCTTATGGAAGCTTATCTCTGCCAATGGATTACTTGTCATAGCAAACTGTCTTTTTATAGATAACCTTTACAATTCTATAACAATATTAAGTAAATGACATTTGAGTATAAGTTAAAGCAAAGCTCCAGGCTGCAAATAAAAAATTTAAAGTCAGCTATTTGTAGCTGCTGACTTTGAATATATAAGGACACTTACCAGTCCTGTGGGTCCAGCGATGCCCTCATCTGAGCCAATTCTTCAATTGGCTTTGGGTGCTGGTGCTGGCATCATCAGTAAAGGAAACCAGAAGTGAAGCCTTGCGGTTTCACAGGTGGCTTCCTACTGCACATGTGTGAAGTTTGCTGCACTTTGTGAATAGGCCACAGTCTTCTGGGACCTGTGAAATGTCCTAGAAGGCTGTGGGGGTTAGGAGAGGTGAACTTCTAGCTCAGATCATTGGTCAAAACCAGGTACCTGCTCCTCCCAAAAAAGTGCCAAATGTGGCAGTGGAGGGGGAGAGGAGGCAGACAAGCAGAATTTCCCCTTTGGGGTGGAGTTCTGCTTTAACATAGAATTAATATAATATGTTGTTTGTTTGTACAAAGGTGTGTCTGATGATCAAGTCAATCAATTTCCAATGTTTAAACAACCTAAAACAATTTCTAAACCAATAATGTTGGAGTCTTAGTGCAATGCTTTGTATATTTCCATCATCATGAGCATAGTGTTTATGAATAACCCTTCTATCATACCTAGAGCAGTGTCTGTGGGATGAACCTGGTCATGATTGATATTTGTAGCCTTGCTTTCAGTAATGTTATCACCTAGCTGGCAGCTGGTTTATGTTGTCAAAGAGACACATTCCTGTTATCTCAGAAGACCTCAGGAGTAATCTAAAGAATTTTTTGATTATTGTAAAATTTGTAATATTGTATCTGCTTTCAATATAAAAATAATTCATTTTGTGTTCTTTAAAGTATATATAAACCCTCAACTTGTAAAAGAAACCATTCAGTTTAAAATAGAAATGAAAGTCAAAACATTTGTGTATAGATAGAAAATACATTATAAATACCTTTTTTGCCTTTTTATAAGTGAGCAGCACACTGATCTTCCCAGTGAAAGGTTGTGTAGGGGGAGGGGGGGTGTTAAGTATAAACACTGGAGTAGAGCAGGCTGAATTCCAGCACAGCCAGTAAACTGGCCACGCTGTGCTTTCCTGCTTAGTTTGGTCAGTTTGTAATAGGAAAGTAGAGGGACTGGCAGGGGCACCAGGGATTTCACACAAAGGAAGCAATACAAAGAGAACAAGATACTTCTTCATACAAGTACATGGTTTAAACGACATAGTCGTGCTCTGGAGCAATTGTGGCGTAAAACCAAATCTCAACAAGCATTCACCCTATATAAATCTGCTTTCTTAACATACAATTCCTCCCTTCATGCTGCCAAACAAGCCTACTTTGTCACTCTGATTAATTCCTTGTCATCCAGTCCTCGTCGTCTCTTCTCTTCTTTTAACTCTCTACTTACTCCACCTCCACCCAGTACCTCACTCACTGCTCACGAGATTGCAAATCATTTCAAAAACAAGATTGACACAATTCTTAGGGGCATCACCACTGCACAGACATCCACCCCACTTAGCATACCTTCTACTAAACCTCCCTCAACACTTTGCTCTTTTGACCTTGCTACTACCGAAGAGGTCACTAAGGTTTTCTGAGAAGCCCGTCTCACCACCTGCCCCCTGGATCGTGTCCCCTCACAACTACTACGGTCACCCTCTTCTTCCATCCTATGCTCCCTCACTCACATCTTCAATCTTTGCCTTTCTACTGGTGCCTTCCCCTCCCCTCTAAAGCATGTGTACATCACTCCCATACCTAAAAAGCCCTCCCTGGACCCCACCAACCTGGACAACTTAAGACCCATTGCTTTAAGTACCATCTCTATGCTGATAACACACAAATCTATCTTTCTACCCCTCACCTCACCCCTTCAGTCTCCTCTCGCATTACTAACCTACTAAGTGACACATCGGCATGGATGTCACTCCACTTCCTCAAACTCAATCTTTCCAAAACTGAGCTCTTAGTATTCCCCCCAGCCCGTGCCCCCTCCCCTGACTTCTCCATCAAAATCAATAACACAATCATCATTCCCTCCCCTCATGCCAGGGTACTAAGTGTAATCCTAGACTCCCATATGTCCTTTCACCCCCAAATCCAATCACTGTCCAAATCTTGTAGACTTCACCTCCGCAACATCTAAGATACGCCCGTTCCTAACCTCGGAAACCACTAAGCAACTTATTCACTCCCTTGTTATATCTCGCCTTAACTATTGTAACTCCCTCCTCATTGGCCTACCTAATCGCAGACTATCCCCTCTTCAGTCTATAATGAATGCTGCTGCCAGACTCATCCACCTTACTAACCGTTCTGTATCAGCCACCCCTCTCTGCCAATCCCTCCACTGGCTTCCCATTGCCCAACGGATAAAATTCAAAACATTAACAACGTATAAAGCCATTTATAACTCTGCCCCAAATTACATCACCAATCTTGTCTCTAAATATCACCCAAACCGTACTCTCCGCTCCTCGCAAGACCTCATAATCTCTAGCTCCCTTGTCTCCTCCTCCCATGCTCGTCTGCAGGACTTCTCCAGAGCTTCCCCCATCCTCTGGAACTCTCTACCCAAATTTATCAGACTATTGCCTACTCTGCTCACTTTTAGGCGATCTCTGAAAACCTATTTCTTCAGGAAGCCTATCCTGCCCTCAGCTAATAATGGAATCTTCTACTCTTCCAACCAGTCCATTCCCCACAGTTACTACCTTTTTGTACCACTAGCCCCTCCCTCCTAGATTGTAAACTCCAAGGAGCAGGGACCTCCTATCCCTCTTGTATTGAACTGTATTGTTGCTGTATTGTCTTCCGTTATATTTTAAAGCGCTGAGCAAACTTGGTGCTATATAAATCCTGTATAGTAATAATAATAATAATATAGCAGTCACATTCAGGAGTACGAAATGTTGGGTTTACATATTATTATTAAATGTAAGAGGGTCCTTTAAACAAGTAAATTATGCACAAGTAAATTATGCACTGTTTCTGTGAAGGTGTGTGCCTGTAACACCCAAAGATGTAAAAATAAAATGGAGCATATTTTAATATAGTGTCACATTGGGTGTAACTGTGCAGGGGGGGGAAACTGTTTCTGGAGGTCCGAGGGCCCACCCACAATTGCTGCTTCCCTTTACTTGCCAGATTTCTGCTTACAATGCCCTCTGTACAAAATATGGCAGCATTCTGTTTCCTCCATATCCCTTTCCTCTGCCATAATCCACTGCCAGAACCTGTAGCAGGCTTGAAAGAACTACAAAGGGCAAACTCTGGACAAATGTTATGAAGAATCAGTAGCTGAAGAGAGAAATCAAAGTTTTTGATTTAAGAAATAGTGAGCTGCAATGTTTATTTCACACCAAGGCCCTTGGCTTTTAATTAAAACTTGCTTAACATAATGCAAGGTTTCATTTCTAGATATATGAAAAAGATCAACTTACTGTAATTTTGCCAATGTTTTTTAAAGTTTTAAAATGTGTTTTCTTGACTGGTTTGCAATTCTGTAGCAGCCAATCTATAACAGGTTTCCATGGAACCCTTGGGTTTTTCCAGAGGTTGCTAGGGTTCCTTGAGGTGTGGATGATTGAACTCACATTTGATGGTGCCTGTATAGTTCCTGGACCAATGCCACTTGGCGAAACCAACAGTATGACACCAATAATATTTTTGCAGCTGTCTGTAAGGGTGGAATTCTGACCACCACTGTAAGGTTGCATTCTTCCTACTAAATGTGAGGGCACCTTTTTCCATTGACTTCTATTAAATTGGTTTTACTAACAGTTCCACTATACCTGAAAATTAAATATTCATTAATTATCTGTGCTCATTCTTTTTTTCTGCTTAGCAGTGATGCATAATGGTTGTGCCTTGCTGATCATCTTATCACTCTGCAAGGGCACTGCAGTTCAATAACTCAGCCAAAAATGATCAGAAAGTCCCACTAAGAGTAAATTTTGTATGAATGTGTTACTGTGCTCTATGCTTTGCACTCTGTTTTATCCTCAGTGTAATCTGAGTGCAATTGTCAGAGATATGACACATTCAGGATTGGACGTCCAGGGGTTGTTTTACTAAAGGCAAATAGACCATTCACTTTGCAAGAGAAGTTGCATTTTGCAAGAGAGGTTTTCCCAGAGCTCAATAAATATGATGAAATTCTGCTCCATCGTGCAGTCATGTGCAAGCAAGAATGCTTTTTTTTCCTTGCAAGTGTTTGAGTATTCTTTGCAAAATGAAATGTCACTACATTCATGTGGGGAAAATTCACTTGCAAAGTGAACAGCCTAACTTGTAATTCAACCCCCCAGTGTCTATTGCAAAAGGAGACACTAGCTACTACATCCTCTTAACATTTGTAAGTTTATTTTCTTTAGAACTCTGTTTCATATTTAGCTGTTGTTAGGAATACACTGCAGCATTCCTTCTGTAGTTTCTGTTGAACACACAGCTCAGATGCCATGCATACCATTTCTCTGTTCATAATTTTTCTTTTTTTCTTTTTTTTAATCTTGCTCTTGTCCAGGGATTCTCAGACACTGCTGCAACTACAAAATCAGATACGTCACGAGAAGGAATCTGCTGCTTGGAAGCAACAAACCAGTCTTCAGCAAAACACACCACCCTCACCATCCTTTCCTCCTCCACCTTCCTTCCAGGAGCTGGAGGCCAGTCAGCTTATTACCCCACCACTGCAAATGAGTGCGTGTTCTCAACTCCCACAGTTCTCCTGCTATGCAACCAGCAAGCTCCTTCAACTACGCTCGGCCTAAACAATTTATTGCCCAGAACATGAGCAATGCCCCAGGCTACGTTACACCATCTTCGGGTTCCTCTACCTCCAGCATCCCATCCCCAATATCACCCCTCAACACCTCAACAGCAGTTTACCAGGGGGTTCCCGTGCAACCTTTCTCCCAGCCATTTGCTTCTGAAGGTGAACAGTTTTGGTCGCCAACCTCCTCATCTCCCCCTCCTCCTCCACCTCCTGTGTTGAGTCCAACTGCAAACTATTCTGCCCAGGATCCATTTCCTCTTCCTCCACCCCCTCCACCCCTTCCTGGATCTGGACCTTCTCCTTCATACAGTCCATCTCAGTCTCCAACAACCAGAGGCTCTAGCTCCAGCCACAGCCCTGCGGCCTTCCTCAGTTCCATGTTGCCATCTCAGCCATCACCTGTCTCTTTCAATGAACTTGGACTACCAAAAGGTGTTATGCCTCCGTGAGTACATTTTCCTTCACTTTGTCAATGTAGATGATGTTACCGTTCATTTTGATTTGGAAGATAGATAGATAGATAGACCTAACCGGATATTGGGTGGATTTAGCTGTAAAAAGTAGGAGCCCCACATCCAAAAATTCATGAAAAATTCCACAGAAACCGTAGATAGATAGATACTGGAAAGATAGCGATGCAGGCAGATAGAGAGACAACTGGCAGTTTATTTGACTTACTGTGCGTATACAATAATTATCATTGCCAGTTACTGCAGAAGTGTACTGTATACTCTGTAAAATCTAGGAACACATTCTCAAGTTACAGAGAGCTGCTATCTGAAATGTTGCCACCTTGTCTTAAAATCACAACATGTTTGCCAGGTCACACTTCAGAGATGTGCCAAAGTTTGAGAAATAACTCCTAACAAGAATAGTGACTTCCAGCTGTAACTGTACAGCTCACACAGCCTAAGTAAGCAAAAATTACTTAATGTGACCAGCTCTTGGCACAATTAAGTCTATTGGCTGTTAGAAATATTTTGTTACAACCTCATTGCAAGAGTGATATTCTGTTATAAAACATATATTTAAAATGTGTGCTGCATGTTTTGACCTTATGGTATTTGTTTACAGAGGTTCTTTAGAGGAATAGTGACCCAACATTGTTATCATTGGGAGAAATCATTACTGGTGTCATTTGGAGAAATGGTGCCCCATTGTTGGTGTCAGTTGTCAGAATAGTGTCTTGTATCAGTGGGAGGAATAGTGCCCCAAGGGCCGGATAAAGGCAAGTGAAGGGCTGCATCCGGCCCCAGGGCCGTAGTTTGGAGACTACTGGTATAAAGCATCCTATTGCTGTGGGTGGTACTATTCTTTGTTTATAATAAAAAGCTAAACCTCTAGTACAGTAGAGTTTATCCACTTCAGCTCCAGAAGGCTTTACCCTCTTCATGACCAGGCCATTTTTGCTATTTGGCACTGTGCTGCTTTAATTGGTAATTGCGCAGTCATGCAACACTGTACCCAAACTAAATTTTGATCTTTTTTTTCATAGAAACAGAGCTTTCTTTCTATGGTATTTTATCACCACTGGGTTTTTTATTTTTTGTGATATAAACAAGAAAAGACAAAAAAAATATGAAAGAAGACAACATTTTTTACTTTCTGCTATGAAACCTATCCAATAAAAAAACTTTTCATAAATGTGGCCAAAATGTATTCTGATACATTTTTTTGATTAAAAAGAAAATCCCAATAAGTGTACATTGACTGGTTTGCGTGAAAGTTATAGCACCTACAACCTATGGCATATATACTGGAATTTTAATTTTTTTATACTACTAATAGTAGCAATCAACAACTTATAATGGGACGGCGATAGTGCGGCGTGCAATCTGATGCTGGAGGGAACTAAATAGCTGCCACTAACATCACCAGTGACATTAATACAGTGATCAGTGATACTACTATGCACTGTCACTGTACTAATGACACTGGTTGGGAAGGGGTTAACATCTTGGGCGATCAAGGGGTCAAATGTGTGCCTGTGTGTAAAGTGTGCTGGTTTTACTACTAGATCTCTTAGTTTCTGACAGATCACTCCCTCTCTACAGAGCTCTGTGTTGTTTACCAACACAGAGCTCTGGGCTGTGGTGGCACACAGTCGATCAGGAGGTCCCGGCTGTGAATCATTGCTGACAGGCTCCCACTGCGTACAATCACAGTGGGTAAGGGGTGGGGGTGCACATGTGCGTGCCCTAAACTCAGAAGTTGGCAGCGACATATGGGTACGTTGCTTTGCCTACAGCAGCCGCTTACCTGCAGTACATTGCAGGTGGGCGGTCACCAAGTGATTATAGAACAAATCCATAAATACTTCAGACATTGGACCTGAATATGGTAATCATTATCTGTGGTGTATACAGCACTCCTTGCTATCTAGGGGAGAATAAAGGGACCTTTGCCCTGGAAGGCAAAGTAACCAAGTGGCCCTTTCATGGTAGAGATAACTTTTTCTGGATAAACATTTAATATGACATACCTTTTAACATCGTCCAGCATCAGTTTCCTTTGCAGCTTTCAACATTTGGTCCCTTTACATCTGAAACTTCCCTCTGTCAGATGCTGTGATCACAGGTCTGGATAGGGAACAGGTAGCTATAAAATATCCAGCATGTGTCACTGTCTGTGGTTTTTGTTCTGATCGATCTCTGAATGGTGAAGTATCTCCATTCAGGGCCACCATCCAAACATAACTTATTAGGGCAGGCCCAAGGGACAAATGTATTCTTGTCTCCTAGCCCATTATTCCCCTTAATGCTACTTAAGGTCATGTAATATGGTTGTGCAAAGCTGGCCATAGGTAGATAGAATTTCAAAAGAAAATTCTTAGGAAACGTCTTAGACAAATTCATAAAAAAAGAACATTTGAATGTCGTTTGAACAATTTTCTTTTTTTTTATCATTTGATTTTGAAATGAATGGGCTGTTTTCAGCTTACTGTAGAAGAAACAAAAAAAAAAACACATACACTGTTAAAAATTTGTTCAAGAAATATATTTCATCCTGCTCTTCTGAATTTTCTTCTTACTGTGGTAAAAAACAAACATCAAATTGACCCACTAGTGATTAGAAAAACAAAGAGCTTTCTTAGAACAGTCTTTTCCTATAAATTTTCATTCAAAATTCTACCCATCTATGACCAGCATAAGGTTCCTTACACAGGGGTTATGGGTGGTTTGCATTCCAATCAGCAGGGGATCTGTTCACAGCAGAACGGGGCGGATGACAGATCTATGTCTACTCAGTTTCTGCACACATGCACGGTCTGCCCTACGGGTGGCCAGGAGTAAATGGACTCCGCTGTCCTTTTACACCTGGCTGCCTTCGATCTGATCTGTCCAAACAGAAGAGGACTCAGTCTTCCTCCATTTCTATTAGCGGACCTGATCGGATCAAGAGGTAGGCAAGTAAAAATGGACAAAAGTCTCTTTACACTTGCCTGTCTATAGAAACACATGTATCATCTGATCAGGTCCGCATGAAAAACTGACAGGTGGACTTGATCGGATCATCCATGTAAAATTATTTCTTCTTGCCTATACCATTCAGTTACATTGTTTATTTACATCCTTCTGTGTGGTATAGGAGCATAAAGTGTTTTTTTTTTTAGCAAACAGTACTTCTATAAGATAATATTTATCAGAAGGCCTGGATTTTTTCCCTTGCACATGCTATTATTAATACTGAGCTATTTTTTTGTGTGAACGAGATTATGGACCTGTGTCAACTGGCTTTGAACTTGTGTTGATGGGCAAACAAAGCTTGATTACCATTGCATTTTGCTTACATTCAGATCAGTTTGAGGGGCTTCTGTGATCATTTAGTGTTCATTGAGATGCTTCTGACCTGAAGTTGAACGTCTTACCTGACCTAAGCTGCATCAACCTGTTTTTACATTCTCATTCACTTGTAAAGTGAAAAAAATAGTATTCGTGGAATGAAAAAGTTCATTAAATTTCTGACAATTTTCTTATATGGCACTTTTTATTTGGGGGGGGTGTTGGAAATCACAGGATCCATTTAGGAAAATATGTACTGAAATACTGTAGTTTTAGGTATAAAATGTAACTCTTAAATGTTGTATATAGGGTTAAAATATTAAAAGCAAACTTTGTTTTATTGATAACAATTTATAAAATTATATTGATTTTGGATGGTTTTAGAAAAGAAAAGATTAAAACAAAATTGGAAACATTATCATCCATCTGTATGTAACCAGCAAGGAATTTCAAATGTGTATTGAGTGCAATCTGGATTTCGTTACTGTAATTCCAGCTGCCTATGGTGGGGGCCATGCAATTTTTTGTGATTTCCATCACCCCTTGTAAGGCTCCACTTCTGAGAAACTGAGAAGAAGAAATTCTATATGAAGTATTGTCAATTTAGTGTATAATTGGAATTTTTACTTTATACTTGGGGGGAGACTTACTAAAACAGGAGCAAGGAAAATCTGGCGCAGCTCTGAATACAAACCAGCTTCCAGGTTTTATTGTCAAAGCTTAACTGAACAAGCTGAAGTTAGAAGCTGATTGGCTACCATGCACAGCTGTACCAGATTCTGGGTGCTCCCAATTTAATAAATCTCCCCCTTGGTGTCTGAGCAGTATCTTCTTTATCATTTTATTCAGGATGTGTTTTCTTAGAGACTCAATATTTTCAAGCTGTGACCAGATTCATTTTTCTGCTTTCTCTGGGGCATTGTCTTTAGTAGAACATTGTATCCTTCTTTTTATACTGTTCAGTAAAAACCATGACAATAAGTAAACCACGGAAACATGTGATACATTTTCTATGCCTGTAGACTACAACTGGTACTTTGAAGCTGGAACATATTAGCCAGCTTACTTAGAATGGCAATGCAAAGCAAGACAAAGGACATTGAGCCTATTGCTTAAATAAAACCATAGTTCATACATTCCCAGATAAAACACATATACAAACCCTATTACTGTCAATTTATGAAAACCAGAGGAGGTAAAGGCCACAGATACAACACAGAGGTACATTTTTATGTATTTATGGCCTAGAAAAAAATGACAGCTGCTAATAACTAGTTGTTATGGGCAACTCAAATGTTTCTGACATTTTGAGCAACACAGATGTTCCTCTACTTTTGGTAGGCTGTCTGTTAGTGAGCTGGAATGGATTTTCTGCTAAATGTCTAGAAATATTAAATAAGGATTTGAGAATATGATTTAAGCATATAATTCATTACCAGCTTTAGTGCCCCCAAAACACTACAAACCAATAATGTTATATAACAAATGTAAATGACTTGGGTGTAGAGTGGGTAGAATATTATGGGTAGGCAAGACTCATAGCTGGCCACCACTAACAGGTGATAGGTGCATGCTAAATCAAAAGTCTACCAGTGAAGACACTTTTGGAACTTAAAGGACTCCATATGGTTTATGGACAAGGCCATCTCCAGATTTGAAGCTTGCTTCAGTTAAATGTTGTTGATTAAGCCACAAAATTTGCCTTTAGCTGGACTACTAGAGGTCAGCAGAAAATTGTTATCTTTTTAGATGGAAGGAATTATGACATATACTTGACTTGACTTGTATACTATCACTAGCTGACCTGTTGACACTGAAACCAGTATTAAACCCAAAAGCAAACATTTATTACATTGCAGCTTACTAATTATTAGATATGACTACATTTGTTCATTTCAGGGCCTTCTTTCCTTTATTTTCATCTGCTGATCCAGCCATTAAGACTGTTGATTTTCAAAAGAATAAGCTTTTTTATTGTATTTAAATCTGCTAGTACATTTAACACTACTCACCCTACCCCAGACTGACAATGCTGTTGTCTGCTGTGCCCCCTGTGCTTCTTCATTAAGAGTGGAGGCACTCTAATACAGGCGGTATGTTACTAGCAAGACTACCAGGTGCAAACAGAGGGGAAAAAAAAACAGCAATCATTAAATGTGGTGGCTGAATTATTTTTCTAAGCTGCAATATATTACATTTTTGGTTTGGGGTTTATTACTGCTTTAAGTGTAATGTAAGGGTTAGTACTTTAAATTACAATCAAGTACTAAGTTCTGTAAATTACAATCAGTACAGTCTACATATTTTCATTGCTGTCTACTTGGCATCGTTATGACGATTCACTCTAATTACTCTGATGACCAATGTCACTGGGAATGATAGTGAAAGTAAATCTCAAATTCTGAGTTGCTATGAGAATACGAAAAGAGGGCAAATCTTCCAATGAGGACACTTGATCCCGTGACAACTTTCTGTGGATAATTTCTTCTCAACTCCTGTTGAGTCTGCAGGACAAGAAGTGATAAGATACAAATAGAAAACAACTTTTTATGAATACTTTAATTATTAATTTCAGTTGGGTTTACTTTATATATAGCAGTTATGTGAGAATAAGGCATTATTCAGGGTTGAAATGGGTTTGAAATGTTATTTGTATTGGCCATGAATGTAAATTATCACCAATATTTCCTTTGGCAGTGGCTTCCCAAGGAAGACAGGCCGGACTGCCCGCATAGCCTCTGATGAAGAGATCCAGGGAACAAAAGATGCAGTGATACAGGATCTCGAGAGGAAGCTGCGTTTCAAAGAGGAGCTCCTGAACAACGGTCAACCGGTATTATAGTGACTGCAAAACTAAGCACTTACTATTCATATTGTGTTACAAAGAAACTGTCGGTTATCCTTTTGCTTTCTTTCTAAAGTTAGACATTGGTTATATTTCTTCTTACAATATCAGGCACTGACTATACAAAAGCAAGTAATGAGTGACTAAAAATAAAATATTTGTGTCTCTCCTATATTCTTAGAAATTAACATATGAAGAGAAAATGGCTCGGCGGTTGCTGGGAGCGGACAATGCTGCAACAGTGTTTAATTTGCAAGAACCAGAAGATGATATAAATACACAGGTACTTATGACTGTCTTTTTACATCTACATATATAAAGTTTATATGGAGATCACAGATTGCTAGGGAATGGGAAATATGTGGTTGCTCCATATATAGTTTTATATGTTTCACCTTCAAAAAATACACATAATTGATTGAGCTGGTGTTCCTTGCCAAAAAACACAAAACATTTTTTTTCAATGGAATGTGCCCATGGAACCACAATAATCATTAACAAACAGATTATCAAAAGTAAACTATTGAAGGACATTTGGTGGAATTAAGAAATTGCCATTACCCAGAATTGAGGAAACTGTAATATATTATAATTTGTAGAAAAATATACATTTTCTACAGGAAATAACTCTAAATGTTTCTTTTGCTAACTAATTGTGCTTGACAGAAATATGAATGTTTCGTCCATAACACTCATTCCATAGCAGTCAGCTGTGCGTTAATGTATGTTTATCTTCCTGCTTTTCTTGTACTTATGACACCCAAACAGTGGCCTGGCCTTTCATGCGTGTCATGCATTCTTGCTTCCCTGGAGTATGTACAGTTGTGCTAAATAGTTTGCATACCCTTGGAGAATTGTATACAGTATGTACCATTTTTAAAGAAAATATGAGTGAGCAGGCAAAACACATTTCTTTTATTTTTTATATAATATTCAACTGTCGGTCATAGCAGAATGGCACAATCATAAAACAAAACATGGCAACAAGTAAACAGATGAAATGACCCCTGTTCAGAAGTCTGCATACCTTTAGTTCCTAATACTGTGTATTGCCCCATTTAGTATTGATGAGAGTATGCAGTCTTTTGTAATAGTTGTTTATGAATCCCTGAATTCTTGCAGGTGGCATAGCTGTTCTTTCCTTTTGGCCAGATTTTTCCAGGTCATGCAAGTCTTTGGTCGTCTTGCATGAACCGCATGTTTGAGATCTCCCCAGAGTGGTTTGATGATATTTAGGTCAGGAGACTGTGATGGCAACTCCAGAACCTTCACCTTTTTCTTCTGTAACCACTGGAGGGTCAACTTGGCCTTGTGCTTAGGGTCATTGCCGTGCTTGAAAGTCCAAGAGCATATCATGCGCAACTTTCGTGCAGAAGAATGCAAATTGTCTTCTAGTATTTTCTGGCAATATGCTGCATTCATCTTGCCATCGATTTTCACAAGATTTTCTATGCCTTTAGAGCTCATCCCCAAAACATCAGTGAGCCACCATCATGCTTCACAGTGGGGATGGTATTTTATGTCGCTATAGGCCTTGTGACCATAACGCTCTATTTTTGGTCCTGTCACTCCAGCTTACACTCTTTCTTGACCTACCTGACATTGACTTGGTATCAAGAGATCCCCAAAATGTCCACTTCTTAATAAGTGATTAAACAGTACTGACTGGCATATTCAAGGCTTTAGTTATCTTTTTATATCGTTTTCCATCGTTATAAAGTTCCATTACCTTGTTCCTACCTTGTTTGACAGTTCTTTTCTGCCCAGTATCTAGCCTGTTCAGTGCATCCACATGAGAGCTAACAAACTCATTGACTATTTATACATAGACACTAATTGCAATTTTAAAAGCCACAGATCGGGGAAATAGAAGTATAAATAAAGGCAAAACTTTTTTTTTTTAAGTTTTGGATAGAGTGGAGAGGTATTAGAACCCTTGTCAGTTTTTATTGCGGTCTGTGCCCCCATTAGGGAGATTCATCCTCTCTATTTGTCCTGTTTACCATTATTATTGAAAGTGAAAGTAAAAGAAAATCCCAAATTTTGGGTTGTCCCTAAAAAAGTAATAGAGGGGAAATCTTGGCTATGGGACAGGAAGTGAAGGGAAATCTCTGCAATGGGACACAGATGGCAAAAAATATCTGACATGGGTTATAGCCCACTCTTATTCTATCCAAAATGAAAAAAAAAACTTCCAGGGTATGTAAACGTTTGATCATGGCCATCTGGATGATTTCTGTTGTTATGATTTAAAAAAGAGCCAACCAACTATGTAATAATAAATGGCTTCATATGATTACTATACTTAAATAAAACACATTTTTTTGGCATAATCGGTCATATTTTCATTATCAATGCCAAACTTTCGTGATTTCTGCCAGGGTATGCAATCTTTTGTGCACAACTGTACACTGCAGTTTATACATGCATGTATCCTGGGTCAGTTCTCTTTAATTCAATAGTGGCTCTACACATAAAAACTGACTAGCCTGACATTGGGTTTGCACATATACATATATGGCCCATTCCACAAAATCTGGTTTAGCAAATTAGTTTGTGCAGAGAACGAAGTTGAGTTGAAGTTGATAGCCACACATGTGGACTAGGTTTGTCATCTGTCTGATTAATAAGAGAGAGAGGATAATGAGGGGCAGGAGGGCCAGGTAGTATCTTTAATTGGGCTGATTGTTAGAAGGTCAGATACAAAGCTCATATGTTTTATGTTACTGTTGGTGTGTAAGAACATTAAATGTACTACATAAATCATTTGGCTCAAGGGATTACGGTATTGTATTTTGTTTGTACATATGGTTAGCATATTGTATGTTTACGCCCATTTTTAAAAGAGAAGTATGGCTAAAGCCCTCTGTCGGCTAACGTCACAGAACTTGTCCAGGCTCTGGAAAGATCTCAATAGTCGAGATCCACCCAGAAGCCTGACCCGCAGCTGGCTCAGCCTGAGCCCCCTCCACAGCCTGGTGCTTCAGTGAGTACTGGTGGGGCAGAGCAGAGAGCTGGTGACTGACAGTCACCAGCTGTCTGCTCAATGAAGACTGAGAACTGAGTGATGTCTTTGATCACTCATTTCTCAGTTATAAAAGCTATGGGCAATAGATGCAGCATTGGACCGATGCTACATGCACCTAGATAAGTATAATGTTTTTTTTCTATCCCCTACTTCTCTTTTGAATAATTTTTATAAGCCAGTTTAAATGGCTGGTAATGTCACAGAGGAAGCAGACCACAGTGTACAAACTTGTGTAACCATGTACATACTTAAAGTGATACTAAAGGTTTAACGTTTTAAAAAAAATAAATAACAAACTTGTTATACTTACCTGTTCTGTGCAATGGTTTTGCACAGAGCAGCCCTGATCCTCCTCTTCTTGAATCCCTCGCCAGCAATCTTGGCCCAATCTCCCCTGCTGATTGCCCCCAGAGAAAGTTGCTTGCTATGGGGGCACTCGAGTGTGCTTGTTCCTGAGTCACCTCTGTGTGTCCACACACAGAGCGTGCCTTGGAACCGCCCCCCACTCCCTCCTCACTGGATGTGATTGGCTCCCTCCTCAATGGCTCCCGCTGCTGTGTCTCAGCCAATGAGGAGGGAGAGACCCAGCAGAGTTGCTGCTCTCGTGCACATCGCTGGATCGAGACCCAGCTTAGGTAAGTATTGGGGGAGCTGCACACTGAAGTTTTATTACCTTTATGCATAAAATGTATGAAGGTAAAAAAACCTTCAGGCTAGATTCACACCTATGTAGTTTGTGTTTGATCAGTTTCTGCAGTGCTTTTTGCACTTTTGCAAACGTGCTTTTGAAGTTTTTTTACGCATTTTGCATTTTATGGGTGGGGGGGGTGTTGCCAACTTGTTTCTGGGCAGATTAAAAATGCATAATGCATAAAAAATGCACTATATGTGTTTCTGCAACATCTCTGGTGAAGTCCATTAAACCAAAACGCGCCATTTTGCATTTAAAAAAGTCCCTGACCTTTTCAAAAAATGCAGGAGGTGAAAACATGCAGATGTGAAAATGTCCCATAGGAAATCATGTTAAATAGACTGTAGTGTATTTCTGCATAATGCAAAACGCACAGCAAAACACATAGGTGTGGACCTAGACTTAGCCTTTACAACCACTTTAATTGGGCTATTGTTCATATATAAATGTACTTGTAAATAGGTTCCATTATTATGCCTTCAAAGAGCTCTTGATCATTATTCAGTAAGTAAACATAACTACCTGCAGGTAGTTCCTTTATAAATTTGTGACAAAAACACAAGATGAAATAATTTCATCTTTTTTTTTTTTTTTTTGGAATGGTTATAGATTAGTAGAAGTAAATCTCATCACTGTCTGATACCGCAACATTCATAATAGGTTACAGAATCAAATACTGTTCTGTATAGCATGTTCCTGGGTCAGAGTTCTAGGATGAAGAAGTGTCATCAGAGCACATGGCAGTAACTGTTTTCTTGCTTTAGCTTTCACCTTCTTCTCTACCTTTGCAGGAAGTTGCCTCTGTTGATGCTTCTGTAGAGAATCCTCTTGAAATGCAGAAGGTTACTATTGACCTGTGTTCCTTGTCTACACCACACTGATCATTAGTCTTACAAACTAACATCTTACACGTTTTGCCGTTTGCCCAATTTAACATCTGTTATAAACACTTGTTTTCCTTGATGCCTTGTTTTGTCACTTGGTACATCGTGTATTCATCCATAAAGAGAAGAAAGCCAAGTAACAGAGAACATTATGTACCTGCGTAATGTCTCCAGAGTATGCATAATATAATTGCATGAAGTTACTGTGTTGTTTACTTTCACTAATTACTTCTAAACAATCTTCATCCTAATTCCACTTGTATAAAATGCCTCTTCCATATAGGAAATGGGCATAAGTCCTGCATACATCATGGACACACCAGTGCTCACCACATATAAATAACACCAGTCATTTATGTAACTCCAATTCTATGTTTGTAGTTTTGTACTATATTTAAGTAGGTATACGTATACTGTAAGGTTTGTTTGCAATGTAGCAATATTCATTAACTGAATTGAAAAATTCCTCAATATTTCTATCTGTAGGAGAATCTATTGCTCCTTTATTTGTTCCCCAAACCTATCATCTACTGTATAAATAACAAAGTGATTGTAAAGTCCTAAGTTTTATTTTTTTTTTTTTAAATAAATAGATTCATACTTACCTGCTCTGTGCAATGGAACAGCACAGAGCGACCCTGAACCTCCTCTTCTCAGGTCCCCTGCTGGCACCCATGGCTGCTTCCTATCGAGGCACACCTGTGCGCTTGAACCTGAGCCACGCTGCTTGTGTTCATTGACACAGACAGTGGGGTTTGGCCCCCCTCCCCTCCTTTGTCACAGGGTTTCACTGACAGCAGTGGGAACCATTGCCCCACTGATCTAAGCAAATCCTGTGAGAGCGGGGAGAAGAAGAGAGAGACGCTGCAGATGGGCATTACACTACAATGGAACAGCACAGAGCAGCCCTGAACCTCCTCTTTTCGGGTCCCTCGCTGGCACCCCTTGGCTGCTTCCTGTTAAGGTACATCTGCGTGTTTGATCCTAAGCCACGCTGCCTGTGTTCATTGACATGGACATTGGGGCTGCCCCCCCCCCCCCCCGTTTATCACAAGATTTCACTGACAGCAGTGGGAACCAATGCCCCACTGCTCTCAGTAAAGCATGTGGGAACTGGGAGAAAGAGAGAGAAGCTGCAGATGAGCACTACAGTGGATCTAGTGAGGACTCAGGTAAGTATAAGAAGGAGAGAGGGAGTGATATTAAGATAAATATTTAGGCTTTACAACCACCTTAAGAACTATATGATTCTGAACCATATTCTATGTGGCCAGAATGAACTTTATGTGTGTGTGTATGTATGTATATATATATATATATATATATATATATATATATATATATATATATATATATTTGTGTTAAATCTAGGTACTAGGTTCTTTTAAGTACCTTATGTTCATTTGCTTTTTGTTTTTGGTTGATGATTTTTATATAGTTGAAATATTTCTGGGCAGTTTTGATCATAATAAAAAGTGTGAAGTACATAGCTGCAAGCAGATCTTGAAAGGAGAAGGCAAGGCGGAGGAAAAGGTTACTAGTAATGAGTGTTGAAACAGAAATGTCACATTCTTCTATATAGCCATAATGTGTCACTTTAACCCAGAATTTAGGGCATCAATTAAAATACCATTACATTGAATAGGGTAGTTTGAACAATTATTCCAGTTACCAACAGGATGAAGACTAAAACGTTCAAAAACGTTTTCATTCCAAAATGTAAGTTAAATCTCGTCTAAGGATTCATTTTTGTCCGCTCCCCCCCAACTACACTATATTGCCAAAGTTCCTCCACCCCAAATGCAATCATCCATGTCTTTATGGACCTTGCTTTGTGCACTGGTGGCAGTCATGTTGGAACAGGAAGGGGCCATCCCCAAACTGTTTCCACAAAGTTGGGAGCATGAAATTGTCCAAAATGTCTTGGTATGCTGACACCTTTAGAGTTCCCTTCAGTGGAACTAAGGGGCTAAGCCGAACCCCTAAAAACAATACACCATAATCCCCCCTCCACCAAACTTTACATTTGGAACAATGCAGTCAGGCAAGTACTGTTCTCCTGGTAACCGCCAAACCCAGACACGTCCATCGGATTACCGGACAGAGAAGTGTGATTTGTCATTCCATAGAACAGGTCTCCACTGCTCCGGATTCCAGTGGCAGCGTGCTTTACACCACTGCATCCAACGCTTTGCATTACACTTGGTGATGTAAGGCTTGGATGCAGCTGCTCGGCCATGGAAACCCATTCCATGAAGCTCTCTACGCACTGTTGTTGTTATAATCTGAAGGCCACATGAAGTTTGAAGGTCTTTAGCTGTTGACTCTGCAGACAGTTGGTGACTTGTGCACACTGTGTGCTTCAGCATGCTCTGACCCCGCTCTGTCATTTTACGTGACCTACCACTTGGTGGCTGAGTTGCTGTTGTTCCCAGTTGTTATAATACCACTAAGAGTTGACCGTGGAATATTTTGTAGCAAGGAAATTTCATGGATGGGCTTATTGCACAGGTGGCAACCTATCACGGTACCACACTTGAATTCACTGAGCTCCTGAGAGCGACCCATTCTTTCACAAATGTTTGTAGAAGCAGTCTGCATGCCTAGGTGCTTGATTTTATACACCTGTGGCCATGGAGGTGATTGGAACACCTGAATCCAATGATTTGGAGGGGTGTCTCAATACTTTTGGCAATATAGTGTATTCAGCTAACAAATCTAGGGGTCTAGTAATAGACCCAGATATAATATTAAAATATAACTAAAGGCAAAACTTTTTTTTTTTTCTTTCATTTTGGATGGAGTGGAGATGGATTAGAATACCTGTCAGGTTTTTATTGATGTCTGTGCCTTTATTAGGGTGATTCACTCTTTTTTTATTTGTCCTCTTCTATTTTACCATCATAATTGAAAGTGAGAGTAAAGTGAAACATTTTGGGTTGTCCCCAGAAAAGTAATAGAGGGGAAATATTCCAATGGGGACACTAGTTATGGAGACCTGTGATCCCCCAGGAAATTTCCTTAATTTGCAGGGATTTCCTCTCACTTCCTGCTTGGTTATGAGACAAGAAGTAAAGGGAAATCTCTGCAATGGGATACAGATGATGAAGCAAAAATCTCACAGGGGTTATAACCCTCCCTTACTATATCCAAAATGAAACTGTAAAGAAAACAAAAAACAGACAAAGCAGTACTGATTGTTCAATTTATCAGAAAGCACATGTAGTATTTCATGTATTCAGTGTATTATATCACACTTGCAAGACCAGTTTAAGTTGATGTTTGACTTTTTCTCCCATGCTGTTATTTTTGTTGATTTTATACAAAATGTTATCTTCACCTTGACAGTCAAAATGAACTAACGTAGATCAAATGTCTACTGTTAAGTTAAAGAATGCAGTAACCAAGGGTGGCCTGTATTACCTTTCACAAAAGCATCTGACAAACTTTTCCTAGTGAAGAAGGGTCCCTGTAGATGTGAAAAATGCCAAAACAGTTATATCATCATTCTCACAGGGCTATAATTCTACCTTATCAAGCAAATCCTTAAAATTTATTTTTTAAATGTTTTTATAGTTAAGCCTTAGTGACAGACACTTAAGTATTGGCACTAATACCGTAGAACTGCTAGTGTTTTGTTTATTTATCCATAAATGACAAGCAGGAAAATAAAGGATGGATTCCGAGGGTAACAATATCCTCTGAAATTTAATTATACACGTGTAGATTAAATAACATGCAGTATTATTGTGTGGAAAACAGTCTGCGGGTGTCTTTATTATTCTAGTTGTTATGTGACCCTCACCAGAGGTCTGTTTGCTCATTCCTTAACTAAAGAAAGGCAAAAAAAAAAAAAAAGTCTGCTGAGCGCTTGATGCTTGGAAAAATCAGAAACGTGGTTTAAAATAAACACATATTACAGGTCCCTGGAGTTGAATTCAAGATATACAGATCAAGTTATTACAAAGAAAAGTATGTGGTTCATAGACCGCTTCTGTCTCATGGGGCAACAGATAGCACAACCACAGTCATTCTCCCCTTTAACATTTACAGGCCAAATAATACACATGGTTAAGAGCTTGCTTACTAACATTTTCCCTTTTCCATTTCCTTTGAGACATTTAGAATTGTAGTTTTGGTGCTTTTGAACAACATGGAAGCCTACAAAATGATCTTTTGTTACTCTAATAAAACAGAAAGCTGTTCCCTACAGGAGAATGTCTCACATATCACTTTTGATTTTTAATCTAGCATTGAGACTACGGGGCCCATTGACTAAAGGTAAATAGGTTGTTCAGTTTATAGGGAATGTTGCACTTTGCAAGGGAAATGGCCAGGGTGACGTTTCTCTTTGCAAGGAATACCCACTCACATTCAAAGAACAAAAAAACAACAATTTTTGGTTGTACATGATGGGATGATGGAATTCAGCAGAGCTTTGCCTTTTTCATTAAACTCTGGGGCAATGTTCCTTACAAACTGAATAAGTGATCTACCTTTACCAAATACCCCCCCCCCCCCCTTGTGTTCTGAAATTCCCTGATCAAAGGTTGGTGGCTGGTGTACCTCTTACAGGAGGAGGTTGCATACTTGAGAACGACTGGAAAGAGTTTGTTGCTTCACTTGTTCATGCTGTACAAGGATTGCTCTGTCTGTCTAAAGGAAATACCGTAAAGTTATATTAAAAGAAAATCTAAAGCAAAAACTTGTTTTGGATAAAGTAGGAAATGTGAGGTGTATTTATTTGTTAAAAAATATATAAAGGAATGCGCTAAATACCAAATCCAATGAAACTGCAGATAAATACATAAATAAAATAAAAAATATATTTATAAATGTCCGTAATTCATATTGAAGTCCAAACACCAATATAAGTGATTAAAAAAATCTCTTAAACAAGAAAAAACACTGTGTAGCAAAATCCACCACCGAATGAAATGGGTAAACTCACCAGAGCTATTTGCTGATCAAATTATAAATCAGCAAAAATAGCAATTGCTCTGGGAGTGATGATCTGTTGGAGTATCCAGGAGCAATAGACTGCAATCAGCCAAATCAGCACACATGGAACAGCCTTAACTGCAAGTGGTCATCATGCCTTCATAACTTTGGAAATGCTCGGGGAATCAAAGAAGAGTATCATGGTGCAGTATATTAAACAAAGAGAATTTTTATTGTAGCCTTAAATATGCACTCACAAGAAAGGTGTCCAACCGACATCAGCAATATCAGTCTCAAAAAGCTAAAGCAGGGATGAGCCTCGCTCACCGCGAACACAGCCTACAGTCTCGAGGAGCGTCCTGACGTCTCATCCACTAAGACCCGCTCTACGCGTTTAGTCATCCGACGTCTTCAAGGGGCGGCAACCTCAAATTTTCTTAATGAGATGTATGACTCATAAAACAATCTGTAATATTTGGTAGTGTGGAATGTTACAAATGCTGTAGTGATTTGTTTATTAGAAAATATGTGGTTGCAGAATTTGGATGACTGAGTGTTTTCAAAGAGAGGTTACTTATTTTGACATTTTGACATGTTGATATTTTATTCTGATAGGAGTACAAAGTGTCTAGCTTTGAGCAAAGGCTTATCGGTGAAATTGAGTATCGCCTAGAACGTTCTCCTGTGGAAGAATCGGATGATGATGTAGAACATGGGGATGAATCTGATGGCATCCCTCCTCAATTTGAAACAAAACTGCGCCACTTCAAGATCTTTGAAGGAATGCCAGCAACTTTTTCATGCAAGCTGACTGGCAATCCAAAGCCAAAGGTATGAAAATGTTCTTCAATTATATCAGTAACAAAAATTTGAGAAGATAAAAATTGTGCAAAAATATTAATGAAAACTGAAAACTCAAAATGACTTTGTAAGCAGTTTCAGCTGAAATTGGTTTATGATCTTCAGGCCATCAGATATACCTTGACTTATCATGACATTTGTATAACATGTGAAGCTTGCTAAGCAAAAAGTATATAATTCTCATGGCTCACAGTGGCCTTAGAAGAACATTTTAAAAAACCAGGGACAAGAATAATAAAGGTGTTTCCTCATAGCCACCTTGCTATATCTTTGTCCACTGCTTACGTAAAAAAAAAACTACTCATCTGTTGCAGAAACCTTTTAACAAAAATCATCAGTGGTCAGTAAAACTTTATACCTTCCAAAACACAACCCCGCAATCATTAGTGGTCAGCGGAAATTTTAAACACCTCGACTCTAAAACAGCAATTCCCACAATTTTTAGTGGTCAGTTGAACTTTACCCCCACCTTCTTCTTTAATCTTTTGCTATACTACTTTCTGGCTGTGTTAAAAAACATTCAGCTCTCCCCTTCCTCAATGTGGTTCACATTGATCACAAGGTACAGAGTCACTCTGTGTACATTTTATCTTTGATCTGAGATTTCTGATGACAGCTTGATCACAGCCATTCATAGGTGCACTGGACACTCGTGTGCGTTCTCTGCAGCGCTGCTTATAAACAGTACTCCGGAAAACTGAGTGCACATCTCTGATGTTTTTTTTTTTTTTTGCTGTGCAGCAGTTTAAAGGTGGGTAAGGCTTAGCATACAAAGAAAAAACTGGTCACATACCCAGGTCTATAACTGGCTTTTTAAACATAAAATGTGTGAGTTTAGCGAGCGCACCAATGAAAAGCTGCTAATGCACAAAAAGGAACCACAAAGCCTTTCTAAGAATATGACATAAAAATAGGGTGTGCAGCGCTATATAAATAAAACACACTGTCTAAAGTATGACGAAATATGACAGAAATGGAAAAATCCCATAAACTGGATGTTAAACAGTCCAAGGTAATATAATATCAGTCCAAAAAGGTATATTCCAGTGATGGAGTATAAACGACTTCAATCCAAATGGGTATATTCCAGCATCCTAACATGAAGGTGTAGAAAAATTGCCCACTCACCGGAAGTGCAAATTAATGTGCACATAGAAATTCCATGAAGCCGGAGGTCCCATGAAGGTATAGCCTGATGATAAAGGTGCCCTCTGGTGGTGGATAGGGTGACGGCTGCCAGAGAAGTTGATCTGGACCAATTTCCCAAATTGTCCTGCCTGGGTGGACTCCTAGAATGCTGGGCTGAGATGTGGAGGCTCAGTGCCAGGTAGTAGAGATGAGAATGCTCATAGTGTAGTATTATAAAAAGTATTTATTGAGTATATATCATTAAGATAAAACAGTAAACGTACAGGGTTGGAGTACCTATACAGGTATATTGAAAATGAGCTCTTTAAATACACTGACCAGTGAATATAAATGATGGCCACCGGACCTCCTGATCCGGTGGCTTAACGACAAGGCGTGCAGAGGCTCCTCCTAGCTTTTTTAAACAGTGAACATGGAAGGCGTCACAAAGTAAAAAATAGGACTATCCAGTTCAACTTGCCAGCCTACCCCAGTCTAATAATGGCTATTGTCGGCAAGGAACATGGATAAGTATACCTTATCAAAAGAGGGGGATAAGAAAGCCAGTTCAAACTGACAGCCAGTTAGCCAACTATCAAAAACCAAATTAACCTGTCTAAGAACATGCGTTTAAAAACAGGGGTTTAGTTAGCACACATTTGCAAATACATACGTAAGCCACAGAGCCACATCACGGCACCCTGAGTGTCTGTGGTCCTAACTCTATAAATCTAGAGAGTCCTCACAATGGGTGCACATGCATTTAAATGGATAGAAACAAGGGCAGGTGAACCTGAGGGAGCCCACCCCTCATTAAGGTCATGGGAGCGCACCTGACACCCAGCATGTAGCACAACGGCAGCCAGGGTGTCCAATGCACCCACTGAACCTCCAAAATTAACATACAAAGAAAAAACTGGTCACCTACCCAGGTCTACAGTATAACTGGCTTTTTAAACTGTGAACATGGAAGGCGTCACAAAGTAAAAAATAGGACTGTCCAGTTCAACTTGCTAGCCTACCTCAGTCTAATAATGGCTATTGTCGGCAAGGAACATGGATAAGTATAACTTCTCAAAAGAGGGGGATAAGAAAGCCAGTTCAAACTGCCAGCCAGTTAGCCAACTATCAAAAACCAAATTAACCTAAGAACATGCATTTAAAAACAGGGGTTTAGTTAGCACACATTTGCAAATACATACGTAAACCACAGAGCCACATCACGGCACCCTGAGTACCTGTGGTCCTAACTCTATAAATCTAGAGAGTCCTCACAATGGAGGCACATGCTGGTGGGCTCCCTCAGGTTCACCTGCCCTTGTTTCTATCCATTTAAAAGCATGTGCCTCCATTGTGAGGACTCTCTAGATTTATAGAGTTAGGACCACAGATACTCAGAGTGCCGTGATGTGGCTCTGTGGCTTACGTATGTATTTGCAAATGTGTGCTAACTAAACCCCTGTTTTTTAAACGCATGTTCTTAGACAGGTTAATTTGGTTTTTGATAGTTGGCTAACTGGCTGGCAGTTTGAACTGGCTTTCTTATCACCCTTTTTGATAAGTTATACTTATCCATGTTCCTTGCCGACAATAGCCATTATTAGACTGGGGTAGGCTGGCAAGTTGAACTGGATAGTCCTATTTTTTACTGGGCAAGGCTTAGCATCTATTATATAAAGTATGATGGTGGTTGGTTATTATATTGGTTATTATGTATATATTTTGCATACAGTGTGGTTTGGCTTAAGTCTTTAATCTGATAGTTTTGCTTTGTCTCACTTGATTTGTCCCCCCCCCCCCCCCCCCCCCCACAAACCCCTTTATTTGTGTCGCAGAATAGATTTGAATTTAGGAACAATCTTCAACTACAGCTGTATCTTATCAGGATTGTGCCGTATATGTCTGTTTGTGATTTGAAGGTGTCGAAAATGAGGGGTTGAGAAAATGTATAGGATATTCATATAACAGACTCTCATAACATGTACTTATATCTGATATAGGCAAGATTGATGTATAGTCTGTATGCCAGATGTAAAACTTACAAGGTTTAAAGCCTAAATGTCCTTTGAGGATTTGCTATCACACGGATTGCAGAGTAAGTTAAATAACGTGAAACTTCTAGGAAAAAAGTGTCATAGGATGTGATGCACCATTTACTTATTTATATAGCAGCATATTTTGTACTCGTTTGCCAAGCACCAATAATCATTCACATCAATTATTGCCCCCAAAAGAAGGTTATATTTCTAGCAAACACATACAAACATGCACACAGTAGAGTTAATTTTGACTGAAACCATTGAACGTATAAAAATGTTTTTGGACTGTGGGAAGAAACCAAAGCACCTCTAGGAAACCCTTGCAAAGGATGGACTTCAGGCAGAAAATAACCATGGAGAGAAATTAACCCAGAACACTAGCAATACAGCCTACAGATGTGTCATCCAGTCTGACAGTGGAACGATTTTCTAATTTTCAAAATGCTATGTAGCGCCCCCCCCCCCCCCCCATAGGAGCAGCTAAATTATTGTCCAGGTCTTTGCTAATTTTACCCCGCAGCCAGGAATAAGGTAGTTTCACAGCCAGGTAGACACACACTTTTGCTCAATGTCTTCAATAATCAGTCTAGGGGCTATTGTTTTTGTAGTTTTATTATTGGAGAACTTGGACAGGGATGGGGAATTTAGTTGGATACTCCAGGAATAGAACTAATTACAGATGAGGACAAATCTACCTTAAGTAGTAGCCTTGAGCAAAGTTCCAGTGTCCGGGAAGGGTTAAACGGACAGTTCTCTTCAGGACACCAGCTGGCATCCCCTTTTTCAGAGCCACGCTGACTTTAAAGCACCAGAGGGGTAGCAAAGCACACAGGTCCCCAAGATCCCATAGTGTATGTACTCACAAGGCCCAAGGCAGAATGGTAGCCGCCTTCCAATCTTCCAAGCGATGCCCTCCAGTAATACCAGACAGATCTTTGGCAGACAGCTCCCCTCAGTCAGCTTTCTGAAGAACCAGGGTCTCTCTCTCTCTCTCTCTCTTACTTCAGGCCCTCAGGTTGCCCACCTAAGGCCACATGGCAGCAGGTGCCCGGGGGAGGAGGTGTGCCTTCTCCCAAGCTGGTACAGTCCTCTCCTGGAAAGACCCAGAGCTCAGTATGCCCGGAGAATAAATACCCTCTTCCAGTATCCTTCAGGGCTACAATCCCTGGGATTGGCTGGAGCGGCATTAATAATCATGCTCCTCCTTTTAAGCAGAGGAACCAACTGTAATCTGCTTATACTAGCACCTATCTAGGAGGATGCTACAGGAAAAAGCTGCAACAGGTTTTTTTTGCTTTCAACCCATTTTGGAGATTAACTTTCCCTTTTTTTTGGTTACAACACAAAAAATGAAAAGAAATCCTGCTGTATCAACAGTAATATTTTACATTACATTATTACTATTCTATAAATTATTACCTCATATAAATTTACATTATTTAGATCAATTAGATACACTAAGATTAAAATCATGATTTTTTTTTTTTTTTTAAATTTGCCTAACATTACATAGTTTTATTTTACAAAGGTTTTTTATTGAATTTTGAAATACAGCATGGTAAAACAACACGCAATGCATATACAGGAACATGGGACTGTATTACACCAAGGAGCGGAACTCCTTGCAATTTGAGCTGAAAAGATCGAAATTACAAGGATGACATAGGGAGATTCACAATGCATGGTTTAATACAATAGTGTAAGGTTTTTAGACCCCTGAGAAGTTCTCTGACAGCCAGCTAATAGACACCACCCCGAAACAGGGAGAGGGGAGCTCACAATGTACAGGCACTCCCATATTTT